AAAATAAACTTTTTAATAAAAAAAAATATTTTGAAAAAAATATATAGCAGATAATACAGATTAACAAGTTGAAAGTTTGATCTTAGAAATCTTGTGCCAATTTTTCATTTCATAGTTGATTAATTTAATTAATTGAATAGTTTCTTATGTCCAAAACTACTTAATTTTTTTTTTTTTATGGTATAGGGAGGTTTTCATTTAATGAGTATGCCATCATTTCTGTCTTACTTTTTTGTTTCCTAGGGTTCTGTAGAAGATACTTCTGGCTCTCAGTCTCTGGCTGCATTGCTAAATAAGTGCAAGACCCCTCAAGGACAAAGACTGGTTAACCAGTGGATTAAGCAGCCTCTCATGGACAAAAATAGAATAGAAGAGAGGTATATTTACTAGTTATGCCTTTGTAATCTTGTAGTGACTTGTAGTTACTCAATAATTATACAGCTTACTCTGATAATGCAGTATTGTACCTATATTTTAGCATCTAGTTGTACAGGGAACTATCTACTAAGATAATGTTGATTTAGATTGATTTAAGATAGTTATGTAATTTGTTATGTATTGGTGATATAATTAGTAACTTATTTTCTAATTATATGTTTTCACTATAAAAAAGTAAAATATATGAGAAAGCTGGTATGGATGTTTTTTATAGCATGAACTTGGGAGCCCCAATAACTTGGTTCAAATTATGGTTCTACCACTTATTGGCGGTGTTATCTTCAACAAATTACTTAATCTCAGTGTCCCAGTTTCTTCCTTTTTAAAATGGCATTAATAAGCATAATTAGTTCACAGGGTTGTTAAGCTTAGATGATTTTATATATATAAAGTACTTTGTGTCTGGTATATAAGAAGCACTAGATTTAAACTGTTGTAATATACCTCAGGAAATCTTTAAAATTGAGGAAATTAAGTCAAAAGTTGTGCAGTTCTGCCACCTTAACATGATTAGTATCATATTAGCTGTGAGCCTTATGCTTCCTAGTTTGCTCCTTGTTTGCTCAGGGCAAATGTGTTATCGTCTCTAAGCATTTGGAATCAATCTCTTTACTTTTGCTCTCTTGAACTGTTAAACACAGGATGTGTGGCTGTGAGGGGAACCTCATTAAGGAAAGCAAGAATTTCCCTTTCTAAGAGCAGACATAGGGAGAGATATGAATGGATTTTTGCCTTTGGTGCCTATATGTTGTCAAGGTAGGCCTTTGACAGGTTCAGGAATAATGAAAGTAGGATCACTTTTAAATTATTGTGACGACTAAGGAGGAGGGTGACAAGACTGGTATCTCTTTTGTGCCTGGCTTTGCTAAGCACCTGTGATCGTTACTTTTTATGTGGTGGCGACTAGATTTGAAGCCAGGCCAGCTGACACCAGAGCTCACACCTTTAGTTACTGCATTTGTTGCTTCTACCAGTTGGATTTTATTTGGTTCAAGTTGTATTATATCCAAAATGAGATGTATTATTATGATTTTCATCTAAGTTTTTTATCAGTAGAAGTACTTTATTGTACTACTTG